TTCACCGTCGATGTCATGTAAGAGTGAAACCCTACAAGTGTGAAGTGTGTGACAAGTCCTTCCATTTTCTATCACGACTTTCAAAACACAAGATAATTCATACAGGAGAAAAACGCTACAAGTGTGAAGTATGTGGGAAGACCTTCCATTATCCATTATTGCTTTCCCAACACAAGAGATTTCATACAGAAAATAAAATTTACAAATGTGAAGAGTGTGGCAAGACTTTTGGAGTTTTATCATTTCTAAGCACAAGAGAATACATACAGGAAAGAAACCCTACAAGTGTGAAGTATGTGGCAAGATCTTCAATGATCCTTCAAGACTTTTCTTCCATAAGAAAACTCATACAGCAGGACAAACAGGACTAACTACACAGAGAAACCCTGTCTTGAAAAACCATAAAAAAAAATTCATACAGGAGAGAAACCCTATAAGTGCAAAATTGTGACAAGGCCTTCCATGATCCACCATTATTTTCTAGACACAAGAAAATTCATATCACAGAACAACCCTACAAATGTGATATATGTGACAAGGCTTCCATTTTCCTTCAAGACTTTCCATCCATAAGAAAATTCATACAGGAGAGAAACCAAATAAATTCGAAGTTTGTGGCAAGGCCTTCCATGATCCATCATTACTTTCTAAACACAAGAGAATCAATACAGGAGAGAAACCCTACAACTGCAAAGTTTGTGGCAAGGCCTTCTGCATTCCATCATTACTTTCTAAACACAAGAGAATTCACATGGAGAAGAAACAATACAAGTGTGAAGTATGTGACAAGGTCTTCAATTATCCATCAAGACTTTACAAACATAAGAACAGTCACACAAAAGTGAAACCCTAAAATTGTGATGTATCTATCAGTCAATTCCTTTAGAACTTTCCAGATTTTTTCTACTGATTTGAGAAATCATTCTGGAGAGAAACCATATAAAAGTGAGGTATGTGGCAAACCTTCCTAAACAAAGTCATACCTATGTCTATACAAATTAAGCCAAAATGTAGAGTGTATTTACCAGTGAAAAGAATATATCAATACAAGGTCCCCTTCAATTACTGGAGGTCAGGCCTCTATCCCTGCCTTTGCAAGATTAGAATCACCACAGCCCTTCTATACTTAGAGAAGGGAGGCGATGTCAGGGGCAGCCCTGCTTATACACTGAAGGCCTAAAATCAGCCATAGGCCTAAAATCAGCAATAGGCCTGTCATACATGTATACTAACACCATGTCTTGGGTCTCTGTGGATAAACATTGAAACAGATGGCTATAAGCTATTGTAAACAGGCAGCTTTTGTGACAATTTACAAGTCTGAGTAGTCATAGACCTTGTAAATAGGTAGCCTTAGCAGATAATACCAACTTAGATAAGGACAAGTGAATCATAGGCAGAGTCATAGTGACCTGTCCCCTGAACCTTCACCCAGCTGATACCCCGTTCTGAAAGATACCTGTATTCCCCCTGAATACCCACACTCCAGTGTCATCCCCTTCCCCATGTCCTGCCTTTTTGTGTTTATAACTCCTATGGAAATTAGTATAAATTATGATTTGAAAAAAATAAATAAATTATTTTTAAAAACAAAGAAAAAAAAAGAAAAGAATATGTCAAATACTCAACAAATTTAGGGCTCATCAAATAATTCATTCTGGAGAGAAGCCATACAATTGTTAAAAAATGTGGCAAATACTTTTGAAGTTTTATAACATGGTCTGAACACAAAATAACTTCTATTGGAGATTGTCACATGTGAAGAATGTGACAAACACTAGTGTTACCAGTCTTCTGGTCTTAATCATCATCAAAGAATTCGTCTGTGACAGAAACCACACTAGTGTGAACAATGTGCAACAGTCTATGGACATACTGAAACATGGGACAAAACTCATAATTCATACTAGACTGAAATGCCACAAGTGTGAAGAATATTGCAAACCCTTTAATAAACTTATTACATTTTTCAAATCAAAGTAGTTCAAACTGGAGAGAAATAGTACAAATGTTAAAATGTTCATAAAATCTTAACATTTCTTCAGACCCTAAAAGTTATAAACAGCTCTTTCTCTTCTGGTCACGGGCACTGCAGAAGCCTTGGGTTACTGTGCAGACATGGCCAAGTCCAAGAACCACACCACACACAACCAGTCCTGCAATTGGTACAGAAATGGCATCAAGAAACCCCGGTCATGCTGGGCCGTGGTGGCGCATGCCTTTAATCCCAGCACTTGGGAGGCAGAGGCAGGCAGATTTCTGAGTTCGAGGCCAGCCTGGTCTACAGAGTGAGTTCCAGGACAGCCAGGGCTACACAGAGAAACCCTGTCTCGAAAAAACAAAACAACAAAAACAAAAGAAAAGAAACCCCAGTCACAAGGATACGAATCTCTTAAGGGGGTTGACCCCACGTTCCTGAGGAACATGAACTTTGCCAGGAAGCACAAGAAAGGCCTGTAGAAGATGCAGGCCAACAATGCAAAGGCAGTGAGTGCACACGCAGAGGCCATCAAGGCCCTTGTGAAGCCTCAGGCCATCAAGCCCAAGATGCCAAAGGGCCCCAGCCGCAAACTCAGCCGCCTGGCTCTCTTCGCTCACCTCAAGCTCGGGAAGTGGATTCGAAGCTACATGGCCAAGGGTCATAGGCTCCGCCAACCAAAGCCCAAGGTTCAGACCAAGGCAGAGGACAAATCTCCAGCTAAGGCCCAGGCTTCAGCTCCAGCCCAGGCTCCCAAAGGTGCCCAGGCCCCTGTGAAGGCCCCATAGAAAAGGCTTCTGCCAACATGAAGACAGATGGACTGCTGTGACACGCCTAACCACACACTATTTGCAGGTGACCAGTGTCCTATGCAGTTTTTACAAATAAACTCAAGACCTGTTTTTTTAAAAAAAGTTATAAACAGCTTCATGCTGAATAGAAGCCCTATAACTTTGAGGAAATTGGTAAGGGCTTTGGAATCATTCATATAATCCTTTCAAAAGTGGAGCTGTCAGACTGTGTGTTTGTCCTTCTTGATTTGTGGCTGATTCTTCCTTGGTGTCTTTTGTTTCTTCTCTTTTAGAATTGAAATCCTTGTTGTATGCCAGTATGTAGAAAAGTAGTCATTTGTTTTTATGTTACAGAAACTCACAGTTAAGAGACTGCCTTGAATGCCCCAGGGGGTGGGAATTTTGAGGGTGGGGAGGTGGGAGTGGGGGGGTGTAGATAGAGGTTACATCCACAGAGAAGAAGGAGGAGGGGCGAGGGGATTGGGGGTTCCGAGAGGGTGGTGGGGGATGGGGTAAGGGAACAACATAGGAAATGTAAATAAATCATCCAATAAAAAAAAAAAGAAAGGAAAAAAAAAAAAAGAGACTGCCTTGAGTCTCACATGCCACATGGACTGAGGTCTTTTATACTGTTGTAATTGTTCAATACTTTGAGGACCTTTCAAGTTGTAGCATGTTTTACTTATGAGATGAGGGTAATGATGAGGAAAGGGAAGGAATATTATGATTGAAAGCTTTTTGTCTAGAGCTAGCATGTTGACTCTGGGAACAAATTGAATTGCCAACAAGCCCTACACCCATGTTAGTATTCTCAGTATCCTCAAAATAATTACCTCTAAAGGTTGTCCTCTGAAAGACTACATGTATGGGTCCCCACACAAACATAAATTTGTATATCCAAAAAAATAAACTTAAATTAAATTTTTGAATTGACTTCGTGTTTTACATGGGCAAGGATCAAGAATGCCTGTATCACTTGCTAGCACTATGAGTTCTAGAATCATTTGAGAGGCAAGCCACTGGTTGTCCTTTTGTAGGAGTCATCTTGATTAGTTCAATTGATTTCAGAAGGACTGCTGATTTTGATTGTAAGTATGTTTGAAGGACATGCTATATTGTAAGAAAATACCCTGAGAACAACTATTCATCCATCTCCTGCTACCTCACTTTGGATGGAACATGACCAGCTGCTTTAAACTTCTGTTGTTTTAACATTCTCACTTCGTCTTGTGGTTGGAATAACAATTGCCTTAACGGCTCTGGAAAAGGATTAACAGTGTAGCATCACTGGAACTGCTGTCCTCCAACTAAGAGATCCAGCTGTCTCTGATCCATGTCTAGTGGAAATGAGTGGATGTACCACCATAAGAAGAATATTTTTTAAATAAGACATTTTATTTTACTTTACTAGAAATGTGTGTGTGTGTGTGTGTGTGTGCCTATCTTTTCTACAACAGATGCCTGATGATGTGGAAAGAAGGTATCTGATCTCTAGAACTGCTGCTCTATGTGCTTGTGAACCACCATGTGCCTGTAGAAGAGAAACTCATCTTCTGAAAAACATCAATTATTCTCAAATACTGAAAGGTCTTTTAGCCTGTAAGCATAGATTTTTAAAATGATTTTGCCAAACATGGCACCTACCAAGGATTGTTTCAAATGGAGAAAATTAAATGGTCAACATGTAAAAAAAAATAATAGTAGGCAATAAACTTAAAACTGTGAACATGGTCTAAACAAATATATTAAGCCTGAAAATCTAGCTCCAATAGAGGAGGAAACCCTGTGCTCAGAAAACTTGTGACTAGCTTTGATTTCCCATTTTTCAAACTTAAGCAACTGGGATGGTTTCAAAATCATAAAGAGATAATGATCACTCTTACATTAACTTCCTCCTTCCACATTTTTAAGGGAAGCAGATCATGAAAGCATGAATTTTCCGTTTGTTAATAAGATTCTTTAAGTAGATCACATCGTTTTAGCAGAGATAACATGGAAACGTGATAAACATTACTGTGAAAGGCTCAGCTCACAGGCTAACATCGCGTGCTGTGACCAAGGACTTTAAAGGAGCCCAAATTCCCTGTGCATGCCCATGTGCAGCTGCTCACAGTTGGGTTGTAATCCAGGCAGTACACAAAACCTCTTCTGTGGCTTCCTGGAACTCTTTCCAACTGACTTGTGGGAAATGTAGTCCCAGCCACTGTGACGTCATCAGAAAGGGCTGTCGGCATCAAACTTTCATATTCTTCAAATTTGGCTTCTCAAATTTGTGCATTTGTCCTGTTGAGGTCTGGATTTGGATCTCTGACATGGAGGTTGGTGCAGAGAACAGTACCATCTTGCAGATCTGAGGAACTGCAGGGTCGCTGGTAGGGCGCGGAGGAATCTTACTTGGGCTTGTTGTGAGACAGGGGAAGCTGCTGACCTGGACGTGCTGTGCTGACCTAGGCTGGGCCACTGCCCCTGGGCACAGGTTTGAAGGGGAGAAGGTTGGAAACAACAGGATGGCCGGGACAGACTGGGTCTGCTGCCTGCCTGTGCCTGAGATGCTGAAGGGAACTCACTCATATTTAGTGGGAAAGCGTGCTCTGCCTAGCTGACCCCTCCTCACGTGGCTGTAGTCAGTTTCTCAGGACATATAAAACACGTGGACGTCTAGCGCCCCCTATACTTTATGTCCTGGAAACTATTACTGGTTTGAGCGTAAACAGCTTCCTAAAGTTCCTAGTGTCCAGGGACAGAATCCTCCGAGGGTGATTGTTGTGTGGGGTGTTACTTTTCCTTTGGAATGAATTGTTAGATTTATGGATGCCTCGGTTTGTATGTGAATTTCTAATAGACAACTCTGTGACTTGAATCATTACAATACATGGCTATATAGCCACAGAATAATCTTGTAATTGGTATGAACCTGTGTTTACACAATCCGGATAATTACGGATTTTACACATCAGATTAAAAATCTCTAGACAGTAATACCTCAACAGTTGTCTGAGTATATGTGCTGTCCAGAATTTGGACTCCGTTTCAGATGTGAGAGATAGGTGACTTGGTGAGATGACAGAAAGATCTCTGGGTGGGGCTGGAATGTCTGAAGGGAAAGGGGGAAATGGCTTTTTTCGTCGGCTGGGTTCAGTATTTGGTTCTCTTTAATCTGACAGGATCTGTGCATTGTTGTCTCATCATGTGGTTTTCTTATGCCTGTTGACATTCTCAACAGTGAACTCTCTTACATTTTCTCTGTCCCTCAGTGTTTACTGATGCACCCTTGATAGTTTTAGAGAGAATGCGCCAAGTTTTTCAACTGTATTTGAAAGGGTGTAAGATAAATTTGGAAAGCTGTGGTACACTTAAGGTCTTATGATTTAAATAGTAAGTTTCTGTCCGTGCAAAATGCACAGTTGTCCTCTTGAAGCGTTAAGAGAATAGTTTAGTCCAGAGCCATTTGAGTAGCCATAATCTGAGAACACAGGTTTAGTTTAACCCAAACTCCGTGCTCCAACATGGAATCTGTTTCATGTTATTACAGAACAAATAAAGTCATTAGTCAAGGAAGGCTTAAAATACATTGGTGTGAGTCTGATAGAGGCACGTACTATGAGACATGGGAGATATTCTATTCACCTAAGGTACCATCTGATGAGATTTTAGCTTTTGGACTGGTAGAAGCTCATGTTCTGCCAAGTCAGTGTATTTGAGGTTCTAAATCTGTCAGAAGTTGTTTGGTCTAATACATTGTGAGGTAAGGACTGTCCTTGAAGAGAAAACCAGCGCAAGATAAGTCAGCTGCCCCTGAACCTGCAAAATTCCAGGCTCTGCCCCTCAGTGAACTTCCACATGGGCCATCAGTCTCTTCACACACAGACTCCTTCCAAGAGTTTTGCATTCACAGTCAGACCCACAGTTTTGTGTGTTTGTGTTTTAAGGATTTCTCCTCCACAGCCCCTCCCCCATCTCAGGTGAGCTTGTTTATATTGTCAGTTCAGTCAAACCAAGTGTTAGTGAGGCAGAGCCTGGCTCATGGCATTCAAATCTACTCTCAGGGAACTTGGGCTTCAGACCACCTTGTTCTGTTTACTGGAATTTTCTTTTTCTTTTTTTTTGTTTTTTTGTTTTGTTTTTTTTGAGACAGGGTTTCTCTGTATGGCCTTGGCTGGCTGTCCTGGAACTCACTCTGTAGACCAGACTGGCCTTGAACTCAGAAATCCACCTGCCTCTGCCTCCCAAGTGCTGGGATTAAAGGCATGCGCCACCACCGCCCCGTTTACTGGAATTTTCAATGAGTTTCCAACCATACCGAGAATAAATAGAACTTTCCTACTTAATGTTACTAATCTGTAGGAAAAATATAACAGTTTACAAAGTGAGAATCGTGTACTGCCTCTCACATCAAAACACACTCCTTAAAATGTAGAGATGGTTTTATTTCTAGGTCTTCAATTCTATTTCATCGATCAACCTGTCTCTGTACCAATACCATGCAGTTTTTATCACTGTTGCTCTGCAGTAAAGCTTGAGGTCATGGATGGTGATTTCCTCAGCCATTGTTTTATTGTTAAGAATTGTTTTTGCTATTCTGGGTTTTTTGCCTTCCCGGATGAATTTCAAAATTGCTTTTTTCATGTCTTTGAAGATTGTGTTGGGATTTTGATGGAGACTGTATAGAATCTGTAGATTATCTTTCTTAGGATGACCATATTTACTATATTAATTCTGCCAATCCATGAGCATGGGAGATCTTTCTGAGATCTTCGATTTCTTTCTGGAGAGACTTGAAGTTATTGTCATACAGATCTTTCACTTGTTAGATTAGCATTACTCCAAGATATTTTATATTATTTGTGGCTATTGTGAAGGGAGTTGTTTCCCTCATTTCTTTCTCAGCCTGTTGATCATTTTTATAAAGGAAGTCTACTGATTTATTTGAGTTAATTTTATATCTGGCCACTTTGCTGAAGTTGTTTATCAGCTGGAGAAGATCTCTGGTAGAATTTTGGGGGTCACTTATACACACTATCTTATCATCTGCAAATAGTGATACCTTTATTTCTTCTTTGCCTATTTGTATCCCCTTGCTTTTTGTTGTCCTATTGTTCTAGCTAGCACTTCAAGTACTGTATTGAGTAGCTACGAGGAGAGTGGCCATCCTTGTCCCTGCATTTAGTAGGAATGCTTCATGTATGTCTCCATTTAATTTGATATTGGCTGTCGGTTTGCAGTAAATTGCTTGGTTTAGTTTTGTCCTAGAATATTTTGTTTTCTCTAGCTATATTGGTTGAGAGTTTTGCTTGGTAGAGTAGGTTTGTTTTAGCTATCCAGGTATTTTTGTTTTTTTGTTGTTTTTTTTTTTCCTTTGAAGTTGAGAATAGTTCCTTTAAGGTCTATAAAGAATTGTGTTGGAATTTTGATGGGAAGTGCATTAAATCTGTAGATTGCTTTTGATAAAATGTCCATTTTTTCCTATGTTAATCCTACTTGTCCATGAGTATGGGAGATCATTTCATCTTTTGATATCTTCTTCAAATTCTTTCATTAGACATGTGAAGGTCTTGTGTATTGCTTTTACTATGTTTACATATGTGCCTGTATCCCTGGTTTCTCCAAGACATTTAACATGAAGAGGTTTGGGATCTTTTTCAAATATTTTTTCAGCATCTAAGCAGATTCTCATGTCACTTTTGGTTTTCTCAGTTTATTTATACGTTGTATTAAGTTGATTTTTCTTGTATCGAACCACCCCTGCATTCTTGGGATGAAGACTATAGACTACTGGATCATGGTGGATGCTGTTTTTGATGTGTTCTTGGATTTGGTTTGTGAGTATTTTATTGAGTATTTCTGCATCGATGTTCACAAGGAAAACTGGTTGAAGTACTCTTTCTTTATTGAGTCTTTGTGTGGTTTAGATATCAGGATGACCACTGTTGGGTTTGACCCAAGTAGCTGCAGGCTGGTAGGGAGTTGGGAAAAACACCCTTGTGAATCTGTCTGGGCACAGAATTTTTTTTTTAGATGGCAAAATTTTATTACAATTTCAATCTCCCCATTCTTTTGAATTCATTTAGGTTGTTAATTTCTTCCTCATTAATGTTATTTATATGTAAAACATACATAGGAATGAAAATGAAATCACAAGAAAATTAAACCTCGCCGGGCAGTGGTGGCGCACGCCTTTAATCCCAGCATTTGGGAGGCAGAGGCAGGTGCATTTCTTTTTTTTTTTTTTTTTTTTTTAATTGGCTGATTTTCATTCTTTGTTTGCAGCATCAGATTTTATTTATTTATTTATTTTATTATTATATGTAAGTACACTGTAGCTGTCTTCAGACACGCATTTGAGGGCATCAGATCTCATTGCAGATGGTTGTGAGCCACCATGTGGTTGCTGGGATTTGAACTCATGACCTCTAGAAGAGCAGTCAGTGCTCCTAACCACTGAGCCATCTCACCAGCCCCGCAGGTGCATTTCTGAGTTCGAGGCGAGCCTGGTCTACAGAGTGAGTTACAGGACAGCCAGAGCTACACAGAGAAACCCTGTCTTGAAAAACCAAAAGAAAGAAAATAAACCCCTGGGACCTGTTGAAGGCAGTCCTGCAGGTGAAGGCTATAGCTCTAATGCATGAAACTATGAGAAAACCACGGAGAAATGATTGAATGATACACTGAAGAAATTTGGGAAAAACAAATACAAACGAAATTCAGTTCCTATAAATGGGAAATAATATTAAAAAGAGAATGAGAAGAGAAATAAATGAAACTAAATCAAAGAAAAAGATTCAAATCAACAGCTTCACATCAGGTTCATTAAGAAGATAAACAAGATTGAGGGACACTAGATACAGCTAACCAACAGAAACTGGATCCAAATGATCAAATTCAGAAATGTACAGGGAGATATTACAACAGATACCAAAATATTCAGCCTATCATAAGGGGATATTTTGAAAACCTGTCTAGTTTAACTGGAAAATCTAAAAGATATCACTCATACCTTCTTGTAAACAACATAAAGATGGATTCATTTCTTGATCCATTCCCCCAGCATGTGTCTTGTGACTGAAAGACTGTGGGTGGGTGTCACTTGTTCTGATATATGAGTGTTAATTGTCAGTATGTTCCTCATTTTCAGTGTTGTTTGTGTTCTCAGTGGCCCCTTGTAGTTTTCTTATTTTGGCTTCCAATTCCTTTTTACAGTGTCTTGACTACGTTCATCTCTCTCTTCAGAGTACAAGGGTTCTTTCTGTATTTTATGTTTGGTGGGTAAAATACAGTTTTTAAATGCTCTTTATTTTATAGGTGGTTTTTCTACGTCTTT